AAGCTGCTTACTAACAACGGTTTTAGAAATGAAAACAGGGCACCGCTCATGTCAGTAGACCCACCAGCTATTAAACCGTTAAAAAGGTGATGGTGAAAAATGGCAGAATCAATTCTACAAAGCATAGATCAAACATGAAAAGCTAGGGAGAAGGTTTAGTGAGATGAGATGTAGAAAATGCTTTGAACATTGGAAACATATGATTAAAATGCTGCTATTTATTATGACCACTGTTCTTTCAGGTGCAAAGAGAAGAACAAGCAAGGAGCTCTCTTTCCATTTCCTGCATTTCAAGTAGTGGTCAACGTTTGCAAAGTTCAGAAAGAAAGCGACAAAGAGAAAGTTACAGGTCCCATGGCGCCTTTAGCATCCCTTATGAATCCATCTATGAACTTCTTCCTGGCAGCCAACCTCTTTACAGTAAGTCTAGCAGAACACAGGGAAACATACTTCAACCATGCTTCTTTCAAGGGAAATGTCACATTTTGCTTCCCCCCCGCCCCCCCCATCCAAGGAACTTTGCCCAGCAAACCCAGAGAGGGAATTCTCTTCTCCCAACACTTCCGCCCCCACCTTTCTGGGTGCCAGAAGGCTCCAACATGGGGCTGGGTAATTAATGAGGAAATCAGAAATGAACATAAAAGAGAAAGAAGTTACCGAGGGACCAACAGCTCCAATGCTCCCGGTCATGCCTTTGTAACCTTGAGGACCCTAAAAAACACACACACACACACACATCAATGTCAAATCAGAAGGATGTGCTTCCTCTTTTCCAACCCATCCATCAAGCCTAGCCATCACGGTTGGCTGTGATGTCACTCAACAGACTCTATTGATCCCCCCAAAGGGGACACGGGTGCAAGTGGCTCTTCCTAAAAGCGATGCCAAAAATGACACAGCATATCTTGGGACGTCACAGTGTAGGCTCTGACCCTTTTGGAGTCACATTGCGATATTACAGCATGTAAGGGGTGGAGTCTTGGCCACGACACATTGGATCCCCTGCCCTCCTCCTGAGGACACCTATGCTATGGCCACGGAATCCTTACTGGGAAGGCAGCCTTGGGAAGGCAGTAGGAGCCTTGTATTTATTTCTTTATCTAGTTAACCCACCTACCCCTCCATCCATCCAATTTCTATCCCACTTTTTCTCCTAGAGCTCAAAGGATCGCACACAGCTTCCTTTCTCCAATTTTCCCTACAACCCTCCTGTGAGCCTGGGCACCTTCAAGTGGGGACAAGTGATGTCATGAGTGTTATGAAGTTAACACCCAACTGATGCAATTTATGTGACCTGATGTCCCCATGCCTTGCATTGGATGTTACTGAGACATGCAAGCCTGGAAACCTCTCCTGGATATTTACCCGGGTGAACTCAGTGGAGCTGAGAGGGAGTGACAGGCACAAAGTCACCCAGCGAGCTTCTAAAGCAAACTCCAAGCTCAGACAACTTGGAAGGAGAGATTGCAGTTCTCACGCTCCAGTCCAACTCTATCTCTCAGGAAACAGGAGTCCCACCATGGCAACTGATTTGGATTTAGAAGAATTAGCGTGTGAGGGGCTGTACATTGGGAAAACAAGTAGGCCCTGGGGGGCCCCTATTGAGCAGAACAGCCAAGCCTTCTCCAATCTGATCACTTCCAGATGTGTGGGACTTCAATTCCTGAAATTCCAGAGAGCTGGCTGGGAATTATGGGAGGTAATGGCCAACACTTGTAGAGACCCCCATGCTAGATTTAGGTGCTAGTAAAGCATTACTGAGATTCCGGGAACCAGACTGACCACCTGCATACTACAGGACTATGTTCAAGACATGCTGCTTTGGGATCAGGTGACTTGAAAGACCACTTCCCCCATTATAAGCCTGTTGAACCACTAAGACAAGGGACATTTTAATGATGGCACCAATCTTACAGGATATTTACCTGGAAATCACTATTAGCAGTCGGTTTTGGTTGTTTCCCCTAGACTCTGACATATGCTAACCCCATCACCCCTGTGATATTTTTCAACAACTCTTCAAGGCATCCCTCTTAACTCAAGCTGCTCCTGGATCTGACCTGCTTCATTGTTTTTATCCATATTCTTTCATCATATTTATTACATGATAAATGGTAAATGGTAAATCATGATTTATCATGATTTATCACATGATAAATGCTTCCTATTTATTACATTTTTCTCATTGCCTTAGCAGATTGCAGACACTAGGCAACCTTGGCGGGTCTCAGAAAGTAAAGCAGAATTGGTCCCAGCTATCTTTGAAGAAACCATTAGGAGCCCAAAGGCTGTTGGTTAGGACAAGCAAGTTAAAAATAACATTGCCAAGAAAACTGCAAGAAAATGCTCCTGTAGCCACCAGCTGAGCTTGACCCGAGGGAATCTTTAACTTTACCTTTTTCTCTATATTGCTGTAGTGAAATTGATTTATGATGTCTGATGTTTCCGCCTGTTTTATTGTGCATACTGCTTAGGGATTATTTGAAGCAAAGAAGCCTAGAAATGTTTCCAAGTCAACCAATGAATAATAGATGGATAAATAATCACTTGCATTGCATTGCACGCTGTTATATCCCTTCTATTTGTGGGTTGGGCTCTCTCCTCCAGACCCTGAAATATACTACAGAGGTCTTCTTAAATATTTGTGCTTCACTTCCTAGAAAAAGAATCCAGGATGTGGGGGACCATGTGCCTGAAAAGCAGTACGCTTAAACTCTTGCACGTTAGAGTCTCCTGTGATCGACCTGCATTTTTTAATTAATACCTGGAAGAGAGACTGCTCAGACCAGCTAGCTCTTCCTATTTACTCTTAGCAAATTGTGAGATAATGAACGTTTTGCTCTAACCTCAGTTAGATAATCATTTCCCTCTTTTGTCATAGCAGGTGCCCAATGCCCGCTAGACACTTAATCCTCATTCATCTGTAACCTTCCTTTGCTGATGCCTAAACTGAGCAACTCTGGGGGCGGAGGGGGAAGGAGAGGTTGCAGGGCTGTAAGACTCACCCAACGAAAGCAACCCCTTGGTGAGTTGAATTCCAGAGACCGTCCCTACCACTTGGGCTTGCTGCGGCAATTGGGAAGGACCCATGGTGCTATAAGTAATTAATGAGGACAATTTTAATAAGCACGGTGCTGTTTGATTGGGTCCTGGCACCTCCTTTAAGGTTCTCCTGCCTTGGTATCCATCCAGCAAATTCTAAACTAGCTGGCAACACAAGAATTTCAGAAAACAAAATGTCAAAACTGGGATGGTGCATTCACACAGAGGAAGGTGTTATGGGACAGTCTGGTCCTGTTAACAACAGTCATATCCTCTGTTCTCCCCATGGCTAAAATCTGGTCGTTATTATTAAGATAGAGCAAATGCTTTTTAGCACTGTGCTTTTGTGCCAGTAAAGCCCTTCACATATTAGCTGTAATTCACGCTAATTGTACTATATTTGTTTTGAAATGTCAAATAATGTAGGGGCCCATGGCTATCCATGTTTAATCAATAAACTCAATGTTATGATCCCCACTCCCCAAATGGTACCACTGTCAGGTTACTGTAACATCAACCCCCAAACCCCTGATGCTTGATTCACTTACCATCTCGCCTTTTGGTCCTGCCGTTCCTGGGTACCCCCTGGGACCTTCTGGACCCTAGGAAAGAAAGATAAACCAGAGTTAGATTATGTCATCTGCAACCAGGGATGATCATATCACACAAACCATTATCACCCATGGCTCAGAAGGGGTCCCCAAAGGGGTATTTAAAAATGTGCCATGTGCCCAAAGCTCAGAGAACCCCAAGGACTCCGCAATGTGCATAAAAAAGGAGAGGGCTTGGATGGTGCAGTCATGACCATCATCTTGACTCCCCCCAGTTCTCTCCCCCCCAGTGGACACTCTTGCCTGTCATGTTGTGCAATGGAATATCAAAAGAATGTGGATCTCTTATATAAAAAAAATCCCAGTCCTAGGAAGGTAGGATTCTGATACAATAACCTAACCACATTGAAGTGCTTTCCAAGGCTCCTAGCGATTCTTGCCTCCAGACCTTGTCTACCCCAAAGGGCTGGCACCTGGGACTCTTGTTTTCTAACCTTGTCTACTTCAAAGGGCTGATCCACCTCAAAAGACTGTCAAAGCCTTTCTCTACTTCAACTTATACCTAACACAACCAAGGTGGAATTGTTCTGAGCTTCCTCCTCCCACTTCCTACTTTCCCAAAAATATCATTTTTGTAACAGCTCCACATCTCTTGACATTCCATCACACCTAGGAAATTTAAAAAATCCAAAGGGGAAGTAGGAAAGTCATTCGGTTAGAGCTACCTGACATGGGGTGCGAAATCTGGTTGATCATTAGGGAGCAGCAAAGTGATACGTACAGGAAATTGTAACTCTTTGCTGCCACTAGATATTTTCCTGGATATTTGCAGCCCAGAACTGGTTGTTCTACGTTACACCGAGATGTTTCTTCTACCCTTTTCCTCTCTGATGTGCTCTACCTATTTCCTGCCTGTACCTCCATTTAAGATATTAGCTTAATAATGGTATTAGTTCTAAAGCTCGCACCATTTTCTGAAAAGGACAAATGTCCAGCAGCTCAAGAAAAGTAAATGCATTCTTGCTTGTTAATTCATTGTTATCATCAAAGCACAAGAGCTTCTAATGAATCAATTGAACTGAGTGCACGTTCTTTATAAATCGCAAGTGTGGAAAACCTTCCAGGTAATATGAAAAATTGGCACAATGTGACCCAGCAGAATTCCAAACCCACAAATTCAACTCTGCTTTTTATTTGCTTTGGACTTGAAGTCTGGCCACACCTGACAGTCCTCAGTTGCTCCATTTGTCAAGGAAAAGGCAAAGTGAGTTGACCTTGTGCACTGACTGAGCCCAGCCCTTGCAGTAAGTCATGGTTTATCACTTAGTATTCTTTGTGGGTGTGGCCAATTGTATTTTCTTCAACAAACCATGGTTGATAAAACCACAGCTTAAAACAATGTACAAACACAAGCAATGTCCCTTTCTCAACCCTGAAAGCTGAAACAAAAAGGGTTCTTGAGGATGGGGTAGTTCTGTTTCTCCCACCAGGGAGCAGCCATGGATGACCTGACAATTAAAAGGCAATGTTCAGGGATGAAACTCTGTTTCAAATTAACCTTGTTCCCACTTTGGGTAGAAATGGACAGCCTCTGCAGGTAAATGTTATAGCCTCTGAAATACGAGGAACCAAAAGGTACAGGAAAAGACAAGCCATCTTGGATGATTTGGGACAAGTTAAATGAATATTTGGGAGGAAAATTAAAAATATGCAGTACTGAGGCTTCAAACCACGCAACTTTAACAACATAAAATGCATGATTTGTTACTTACGAATTAGTACATCAAAAGACTTTATACTTTTTTTCCAAGCAGTTATAAAAATAGCAAGAATTAAGCTGTTCAGTCTTAAAGGCAGTAAGCTTATTTTCTCTTTTGTTATTTCCTTTGAAATTTTATACAATGATAGAATTATACAGGGGGAAGGGACCACAAGGATCATCTAGCCCAGTGGTTCTCAAACTTGGCAACTTTAAGATGTGTGGACTTCAACTCCTAGAATTCCCCAGCCAGCTTTGCTTTGCTGGCTGGGGAATTCTGGGAGCTGAAGTCCACACATCTTAAAGTTGCCACATTTGAAAAACACTGATCTAGCCCAACCCTTGGAAATATGCAGGAAAACCAATTAAAAATCCTTGAGAGGTGGTGTCCAGCCTCTTCTAAAAACCTCCAGAAATAGCAAACCGACAAACTCCATAGCTGGACTCTTCCACTGTTGCACAGATCTTACCACCAAGAAGTTTTTCCTTACAATTAAATGAAATCAAGGTAGCTGCAACTTATACCCATTGCTTCTCGTTCAAGGTTTGGTTGCCATGGACAATAGTTCCTGACCATCTTCCCTATGGTCCCCTTTTATGAAACAAACTTAGATATAGTGTCTTCCCTCATTTAACTAGAAAGAAACTAAAAAATAGAAAGTATTAACCATATAAGATATAATAAAGATTACATTACGTGGACTTATGAGGTCTCAATACCTACTTCTATAGAGATATGTCCTCTATTGTAAATAATGACCATGTCTAGATGATCATATATGGAAACTTATATGAAGTTGTCAGAAGTTGTCAGAACATTGGGTAATCATGCTGACTTTTCAGGCTCCTAAAGTGAAATAATACATTTCCAGCTTGTTCCATTTCTAGTTTTTCCTTATCAAGTCTTGGAGGGAGCCTGGAAAAAGGGAATCAGGCTACAGGAGGGTCCATGGCACAAGAGTAATAAAATCCCTGGAACAAAGGGAGTGAGATTAAGAAGTAGAAATAAATACATTACAGCAGGACCAGGAATGCCTTGTTCTCCAGACAGGCCCACATCACCCATTGGACCCTAGAAAGTAAAAATAGAAAGGTATCAAAGCTACAGAAAGGACAAACATTTAGAGATGGGCTTTAAATGAGAGAATTAGAAATCAGCCTGCGTGCTTGTTTAAACTGTAAACTACAACCACACCAGCTTAAGTTTCCCTGCTGGAAAATCTTCCCGATGCTCTACAGGTTATGTCAGAATTATGCCACTCCTAAAATTCTCAGTCAAGTAGAGCCAGCTGGCTGGGGAATTGAAGTCCACACATCTTAAAGGAGCCAAGGTTGAGAAACCCTGGGCTACATGATTGAGTGTTCTTCAATTGGCAATCCTGGTTGGCTTGGATGAAATGCTGCCTTTCTCATACGCTCATCCACCAGCTCGGCTGGCACTAAATTCTGGGGAGGAGTTCTGACAGCCGTGGTCTCCCAAGAGCTGTGGGAAAGCAGTACGGGATCTGAAAAAAACCCCTTAATCTTCCATAGCTAATGTTCAATCAGTTAAGGAGAAAAATGAAGGGAGGGCAAGGCTTCTCCATTCTCACCGGCCGGCCCTGTCTTCCAGGTTCTCCGGCAGCTCCTGATCGGCCTCTGTGTCCCTAAAAGGAAAGAGAATCAAAGTTTCAAAAAAATTGTCAATCAGCACTTTGTGATGGGCAGAAGGAATAGCCTTGAGGAACAAGAGGAAGAGCCGCAACTAAGACAACGGTCAGGTAAAAGAAACACAATGCCCGATGCACAGCACAGTGATCCCCTCATAGAAAGGAGCAAAACAGCAGCATTTGTGGGCAAGATGTGCACATCAGTGTGTAAGGGGAAGTAGGAGCAACCTTGAGGAACAGGAGGAAGAGGTGCAACCAAGACAACAATCAGATAAAAGAAATCTGAGTTGGGGGCAGAACTGTAATCCAAGCAAGCTTCTCAGACAAGAACCTCTCTAGTTAAAGATAAGTCTAAGATAAAGGGAGGAAGGGGGGAAGCACATTCACACTTGCACAATTATGTTACTGTAACCTTATTAAAAAATATAGTATGAGCATTCATAACTCTGGTTTCCTAGTCTGGTCTATCTTGAAGGGCTGACAGCGCTTCCACATCAGTGTTTCAAGTCACTTTAGGACCGGGGTGATCTTACAACCACAGATTTATTTCTAATAAATAGGAAATGATCCCAGTTTATTGGAAAGCTTAACAGAAGGCTCATTTCTAGGGACGGGCAAAGTGATTTGGCCTTTAAATACCCATTTCAAGTGTTTGGAGTTCAGAAGAAAATATGCGTATTCTAAGAGTTTCATTTCAAGGCTGGTGGTGTTGTGACTTTAGCTTCTGACCTCAAAATGTGGTCTTTTTGAGAGGGTTCCTCAAAGGTGGTTGCTAACAGTCCTCTGGGAAAAGCATCACTTTGGGGTGAGGAGGTAAGGTGGCTGGGCTCATATGCCTAGCCTGGGTAGACAGGGCCCAACAATGGCTTATCAGTTTGTTAACCCCTGATCTTAATGCTTGGAGCCATTAGTCCAGTCCATGCCTCCCACGTCCTGCTCTCAGGGCTGACCCTGCCAAGCCCATCAGATTCCCATAACCAGCATTCCTTGCCTGTCTTGATACTATCCTGCTGATGGAATAAAGATAAAATTGCTGGCCAGGGAAGATTGGGTGCTACTACTTCACACTTCCTGGCTTCTCTCCTGGAGCTGGCTGCCAGAAGATCATTGCTATTGCCATTGTCTAGTGCTTTGCATGCTAGAGAGGGAAGGCTTCTAAGGGACCATGGACCCACCCACCTCCTCCTGCCATCTTGCTTCTTCAACTGCCCTCAGTCTTGTGCCTGACCAATCGCTCTCTCCTGGATCTCATTCTTGGGGAAAGGATGCAGCTCTAGGAGCCCTCAGTCCCCCTGCTAATGTAGCAGAGGTCCATGGTTTTCTCAGAAGGTCACCACCTTGATTGCCACTACTGCTTGCCTCAGTTCTGGATGCTGCTCTTTCCTTAGTCAGGCTTCCTTCTAGCTGGCTGATGGGATTCTTCCCCTGATGCACCTTCCCCACAATTTCATAGGCTGCTGTCCAAGCTAAGCCATGTGATCTTTTTGCAGAGACCTCCTGCTGGCATGGTAATCAACTGGTACATAGCTACTGGAAGATACTTTTGCAAGCCTGCCTTCCTTCCTTCCTTCCTTCCTTCCTTCCTTCCTTCCTTCCTTCCTTCCTTCCTTCCTTCCTTCCTTCCTTCCTTCCTTCCTTCCTTCCTTCCTTCCTTCCT